AGATTGGAAGAAGATGAGTGCAATTTTAAAATTGCAGGGGGAAAAAACCATAAATAACCCAAACTATGCTGATGCTACTACTCTGTCTGCAAACTTTAGTAATTAAAATCAAGTGGCACAGTGGAACAATTATATAGCATAAAATCATAAATAACCTGCACTATGCTGATGGATACTACTCTGTCTGCAAGCTCTAGTAATTAAAATCAAGCAGCACAGTGGGGCAATTAAGTATTATAAAACCATAGGGTTCAAAGGGGCCTTGGAGGTCTTGTAGTCAAACCTACCCAGGGCAGGAATCCTCAGACAAATTTCCAGACAAATGGCTGTCCAATCTTTGAAAACCTTCAGTGATGGGACACTCACAACTTCAAGAGGCCAGCTGTTCCACCTCTCACAGTATGGAATTCCCTCCTTATTTCAAGACAATGAAGAAACTTAAGTGGAGGATAGAGTCTGCTTTTTAGGACTGACTACCATCTGTAAAGGAACCAACAGGGAAGAAATATGCTTCAGGCAAGCACTTGGTAGAGTATACTAACAAAGGCTTGTAAAAAAATATTCAGCTATGTGCTGAACAGTTTTCTCTGTGATATTCTATGGAAACAAAAGTTCTATTTGAAGATGCACAATAGAAAAGGTATTGGTGCTTTTGAACGTTAGGGTCAGACAAGACACTTGAGAGTACCATAGGAGGTAGCCAAGAAAGCAAACAAATGGATCAGAGACCAAATCTAGCCGCAATTTTATTTCAGACACAAATAATCAGACTCAAGTTATCACATTAGACACATTACACAAAGACTCAGAACTTTTCAGACGCTGGGAAAGCTGGAAGGAAAGAGAAGAGGAGGACTAATAGCAAGGTGGATGAACTCAACTGCAAAAGTCATGAGTACGCTATTTAGAGATCTGAAAGACCAGGTTGGGGACATATCATCCCAAAGAAGGTCTATCTTTGTGGTCAGTAAATGTCAGCATAGGTTGGAAACATGCGGAAGTGGCCTTCATCTTGCAGTAGATAGACAATGGCTAAAATGAAGATGATTTCTATCTGGTAATATATTTAATACTTTTCTCTTCTTCCTTTTTTTTATGTCTTCCAATTAGTCTTGTTTCCTGGCAACTGCCTGGTGAAGTGCTTGCAAGTTTCCTGGCAAGAGTTTCCAAAGTGATTTGCCATTACTTTCCTCACAGGGCTGAGAGAGGACTGACCCAAAATCATCCAGTTTGTTTTGTGCCTAAAGTGGAACTAGTCCAAGGGTAGGTAACCTTGGCTCTTTTATGACTTGTGGACTTCAATACCCAAAATTCCTGAACCAGCCATGCTGACTCAGGAATTCTGGGAGTTGAAGTCCACAAGTCATAAAAGAGCCAAGGTTGCCTACCCCTGGACTAGAACTTACCGTCTCCTAATTTCTAGTCCTATGTTCTTAACTGCTGCACCAAAACAGCTTAGTCATTTTTGACAGTATAAAATTATAACTTTGAAATTATAAAATTATAATTTGGAAAGACTTTCGGAAGATTTCTCATGGATGAGCCCAAGCTCATCTGTTATTTTGCAACTTCAGGTTGTATACCTCTTTGTATGTAGGGACAATGTTTTTGAATGCTTTTGAGTGCCCAGAAAATGTTATACTCAATCATTTTTAAAATAAATCATGTTGTTATTTCCTAACTGGAATATTTAAGAAGTTCACCGAATGCTGAGAGTGGTACTGGTGAAAGAAGGTGCAATTAAGCGTCTAAGTGATGAGAAACATTTTTTAAATCTCGGTTTTGAAAATGTATCATTAGTTCTAGGATTTCAGTTAAGTGGGATATGCAGGTCACAATTTTACTATAAAAAAGAAATCATACACCCCTGTTTCAGAACTGGGGAAGAGGTGTGATCTTTAACCCCTCTCTTATCCTCTCTCTTCTGTGAGGTTTGATTTCAAGATCTTTCTCTGCAGTATCTATTTATCTTTTACTAATGGTAAGGCTTCCCCACCCCCAAAAAATAGATGTTAATGATTATGATCATATTTCAGAGAGATGCTTTTGAGCTTCAATCGCAAATCTCAAAATTCCAGCAGCATATGATATTCTTAATAGGACACAGGGTTATGTTAAGCTCTTAAATGCTATGGCTAAAGCAACAGCTGCCTATTACAGATCCCTAATCCTTTGAGTAATGATTAGAGCCCCATCCTAGGGCAGAGAAAACTAAGCTTTTCTTTCCATGAAGCTCACCTATTAATCTTAGGTCATTCACTATCTCTTCGCTTAGCCTGAACCACTGGGTTATCATGAAGATAAAAGAAGGGGAGAGCCATCACTTGTGTTTCCTGGACGACTTAATGCTTTGGTGTGTTTACGCCCCCTACACCTCCTTTCCATTACTTCCTTTAGGTCAGGGGTAGGCAACCTTGGCTCTTTTATGACTCGTGGACTTCAACTCCCAGAATTCCTGAGCCAGCATGGAGTCCACAAGTCATAAAAGAGCCAAGGTTGCCTACCCCTGCCTTAGGTGGAAATATCAATGTCATTATGTTCAGTGACCAAAACAACAGGAAGAGGACAACTTTCCATTCAGATGGAAACAATCATTTGAAAGAGAAGTTTCGGAGTTCCTAAATGTCTGATTGAAATGGTTGCTTCACTTCACAATCTGCCTGAGAGTTCCTGGGAAAAGTTGAATCCACTGTGCAACAGTTTCCCACAAGATACAGTGGGACTACAGAATTAGAAAAAGGAAGACCCACATTAGTTTCTAGATAGCACAAAAGAGGTTTGTTTCCAATGTTTTCTTCCAATTAATTCTTCCTGCTGAAGAAGAGAGGAAATCCAAGTATTTTGTTATCAGCCATCAATCCAGTCTATAGTCATGTGGCTTTCAGTCCCTCATGACTGAGCTACTTTATACAATTTTATTGAACAGACAGGTCCCAAGAACATCTCAGTTGGATCCCTTCAACTTCATCTTCCACATCTGCCTGTAACATTAACATGTGGATCTTTTAAAAGCACACTACTGACAGGCTGAGGATTAAGAGGACCAGTTCAGAAAATAAAATGAAATTTAACTCTTTTCTTCCCTTCCGCCTTTTTTAGGGGAAAAAATGCTTTATCCGCTGCTGAGAAAAAAATCCCATATTGCCACCTATAGAAATATGCAATTAGATACATATGTGCATACACAAATCCCCTTCCTGTTATCCCTGGCAATCCTGTGAGGTCTCAGCCAACAATATCTGCATAAAAATATATGGTATATAAATTTTGACCAAGGCACTTCTAACATCAACACAAGCATTCCAAAAATTACTAAAGAAGACATCAGACAAGCCAAACCACTGAGCATTTTATTTTGACCTATGCTTTATTTTCATCCCATACAATCCCATTCTTCAGCATCCAGCAACCATCTTCAACTCTGTATTTATCCAAAATAACTCCTTAATTCAAGCCTCTTCACTTCAGCAAACATGTATTTCTAAATCAACAAATAAGCCTACTATTTTATATTCACGTTTTTCTATGACCTACTAAAGAGGAAAAACTCTGGTCTGCATATGCTCTGCCTGGCATAAAGCCTCAATGCACTTCTGACATTTTGCTCAATGTATCTGTGGTATATTTTCAATCTGTCAAGCACTTTCCCAGACAAGCAAAAATCCTTGCATATTCTGTATTCATTCTTGCTAGGCTTTCTTTTATATTGGCGGAGCCCTATCAGTGTTCTTCTATTCTTCAGGCAGAGATGCATCCTGCAAACACATTAAACAAATTGCACTGCCACTCCACAGGCCAACCTCATCCGTTTGTAGATGTGCAACCTTTTCTCTAACTGCACCACCTTACCATATTTCAGTATTTTTCAACGTTAGCAACTTGAAGATGTGCGGACTTTAATTGTTTCCAGAATACCCCACCCAGCATTTCAACATACTAACAGCGTTTATGGCTCCCCACCCATCATTTTTATGACATTCGTTTAATTTCCACTATTCATCATTCCCATACAAAAATAAAATATTCCTTCCAGCATTCCCTCATTTAGGTTTGACCCCAAATAATTTTATCCTTTTTATTTTTAATTAAATTCCCTCCCGCTGGAGGCACCACCAACTTCCCAAACAAGTTTTTATTTCCATTAAAATTGCTCTGCATTTCCTCACCCACTTATTGTTATGTCGTTTGGCCCTTTCTTTGCACGGGCACTCATAGTTGTACATTGCAGAAATAGCATAAGCCGCCTGTTTTAGTGTGTCCTGAGGGTGAAGCCATATACAAGTAGAATGAATAACATGACTGTTGCTATAAATGTTTTTTTTTCTCAATTGCCCAATTTAATACAAAAGTAAGAAAAGTGAAAGACCAGCAACTGCAGTAGAAGAACAGGCTAACTGACCCCATAATTTTTTTTAGAAAACCTGAGGAAATATGCTATTTCTTATAATACAGAAGTATTCCATTAACATCAGCGTCAACTCAATATCTCTACTGAGTCTCATTCCAAAAGTTGCAGATTCTTCGCCAACTTATTTCAGAAGTTGCAAACTATGCTTACTTTAAAAAAGCTTTCCTAAGAACATACACTACTTCATGTAGCTAAGATAGCACCTTTAGATTTTCAAAGTTTTATTAAAACTAATAGAATTTATTTATGAATTGGACAGGGATTGAAATACAACACATGTAAAAGTTAAAAGCATGAACTATTTATACAACAATCCAAAGAGGCATTAAATAAACATGCATTTTTGACTGAAACGTGAGGATTTGAGGCCTTTTCATCTAACTAAAAGCAGCTATAGAGAGCGGGAACTTCTATATTTTTTTAACACCCCACCCAAAACCGCCAAGGGTTTCACAAAATAAACCTTTAACAAATCCTCTGCCAAAGACTCAGTTAGCTGGCTAGTTGGCTGGGTACGCACAACTCAAACATCAGAAGGATGGCCTGCTAAGGTGCGCTCCAATATTTCTTCGGTGGTTTCTGAATGACTTACCTCATTGTCATGTGGAGGCAGCTGGTGCAGAAGCTGTTTGATACGGGCTTTCTCTCCAGGGCTGTTGACATAGGGTACTTTGTCTTCTGGTAGACAGCTGTAGTATTGATGAACCTAAATGGTAGAAAAGGAGGGCTGCAGTACAATGTCTTGGATTTTGGTTGGGACATATTTGCTTATAACAAGAAACCAAATATTCTCAGCAGCAGTAATTATTCAACAGCTGGAGATGCATGCAATATATACACACACACACGCACACAGAGATAGGCAACCTTCCTTACGAGGAAGCCCATTTGACAGAAGCGGAAATTTGTTTGACGTAAGAGTCAAAGCGAGAGAAAAACACTAGCTGTTTTCTGTCTAACGCGCCAAGATTGTTTCTTTACCGTCTTCTCGGTTAGTCTCCAGAATGTGAGCATGTTTCCCTTGGCAAGATGGAACTGTCAGCACCTGCCTTTGTAAGCATAGGTTAAGACGCTTCTCCTTGGCATCCAATCTATGACTGGGTAACTGAGCCTCCACCTACACTGCAGCCCTGAAGGCCTTTTCTGTAACAATTTGTGAAAATAATCAGTAGATAAAATCTGTCGGAAGACTGAAAGTTCTCTTTAAGACCCAGAGCATGTAATTAAAAACCATCATGAAAAGTGCAACAGACTCAGCAGTGCAGCGAGACCAGGTCCCAGGAAATTCCATTTATAATAAGGGCATTTATGATGTACAGGCAGCTCCCGTTTATTCTACTGCTGTAGCTAAAGATTCCAAACAACAGTACAGCGTTGTGTGATGCATACATGAAAGAAGTCTTAACTACAATTATTAGCTTAAATATGAGATAGTAAATATTAAGAGAAAAAGACAGGAAGTATTAAATGTTGAAATAGGAGGAATTTTGGTTACTAAATTTAAAATATATGGAAATTACCAGAAAATAAGAATATTATATTGTATTACTAATTAGTTGATGTAAGATGGCGAGAACTCAAATAGATAAGATGTGTATTCTGAACATTAGATCTTGTGATGAATTGTGATAAAGGGAATTGGGTTTATTTAAAATTTGGAAATTATAAATATCAAACGTGAAATATAAATATTAATGGGAAACCAAAAATTGGGGGAAATTAATCAGGACATTGATTGTCTAAAAAGATTGAATGTTAAAACAACTAGGATATGTATAAACTAAAAATTATTGATAAATGCAAGAAAGTTATTTTTTATTTAATTGATATAATAAGAATTGTACTAATTTAAAGATGAGACAGTAAATACTAAGGGGAAAAGAGAGGAAACACTTAATGTAATAGTTCGAGATCTGTACTAAAGATATTTGTATGTTATGGAATTATTGACCAACTCAGCCGCCATGTTGCTTTTCCAATACTTAAATGTAAAACTAGAAAACCAATAAAATTTTCTTTGAAAAAAAATGCCGTACCCACCATTTTGCGGAATGGACCGTCCCACTCTCAGTATGCTTCTGATCTAGTACTTAGCTATGCGCATGTTATATTTCATTTCACAAACCTATCAAGTCAAGATATAGTTTTCTTCATTTTGGCAGACTGTACCGTAACCCACTGTGTTTTGGAAACTGGCTTAGAACATTATGTGAACCTAGTTTTATTAGTTTTTTTATTAGCAAACTATAATAAAAAAACCCTATGATTTAGAATAATCTGTTCTCCCTCCTATTCTGATGTCAAGACAACAGAAAATATGGACAGGGAGTAAAGCTATTGCAGGATACGTTAGTGGCCAGACGCTAAAAGTTGAAAAATTGTGATCGCTAGAAAAGAGATCTGGAATGTAAAAATAAGAATTGTACAGGAATATCTCCAAATATATCAAAATGTTTTTAACCAAGAATTTTGCCTTCTCTCATGGTATAGTCATGGCAAACAACATCCTGAGATCTAACCAGACTGCTTATTGAATGACCACTAACATTGTATAAATGTTAAGGATGCAAATAATTCAGTTGAAAAAAGCCACCATTGCCTATTAAAAAGCTGGAGAGACGAGAAGTGTGAAGTCCCATCTTCTAGTCCATCAAAAATCACCTCTGAGAGTGTTCCAAGGGATTTTTCACACCCTACTGTACCTTGTCCATCAAGGAGAGTTTAATTGGTATGTATTCTCTGAATGAATGAGTGAATGTGAGATACTGGTAAGATACATCAGTGGTCTCCTGCCATTGTTGAATAGTATTCACTGATCTTGTTCTGATGCTGCAAGGAAAAAAAAAGGATTGCTAATTCTACAACAGAGGGTCAGCCTCTTGTTAGAAGGCCATGCACCTCAAATCTTGGAACTTCAAAATTTGACACCACCAAAGATCTCTAATTGGCAATCCAAGTTAAATCTTTCACCTCAATTAGGATGATTACTGCAGAATGTTCTGTCTTGATAGACATACCTTTCTATATCTACAGTATTAATATAATAACCAGTTCTTAAAAATGTGGAAATGTAACAATTATTTCTTGAAACTGTGAGATCCTCATTCCCATGAACATTTCAACAACAGAAGCTTATAATCTTTTAAATTGTGCCTAAATCAGTAGTACTTTTAAAATCTGGTTGCAAGATACCTAAGGCCATTGTAGACAGACAGACAATCTTCACCTGGCCTTTGACAAGAGAGAGTAAAACCTTCTTGCTTCATCACATTTGCCATCTATTATCTTTATGTTTTATTGATTTTATTGTAATATCTTTATTTTCTTCTGCCACAGTCATTCTATTTCTATTTGCAGGACTTTGTACTTTGTGATTTTCTTCTTTGTCTTTTATTCTGCTGTCTCCAGGTGCTGAAACATCCACTATCCATATTAGAATTTTAATTATAATATATGTACATATTAAATAATATATGTCAAAAAGTAGATAAATAACTATAATTTTAAAAACTGAAAGAAGTGCGAATGTTAACCAAGAGAGAAAAATCTCCTCTAAAGCACTCCTAAACTTGATCCAGGATCATTCATACTTGGAGAAGACCAACTGAAATCAATGGGACATGTTATTTGTGATTGCAGTGGATCCACACTCTATAAGACTGTCTGGATCTAATACATGTGTAATAATCAGGCAAGATAGAAAGGTTCACTGATTTTGTAATCTCAGGTTGAAGAAATTAAGCTTCTTAATATAGCCATCTCAACTCCTTAGGCTTGATTTTGCATCTGATGGCTCACACGTGTAGAATTTTTAGAGTAGTGGTGATGCTCTCACTAAACAACTGAAAGGAGATTGTATTTTCACAAAATAGCTTCCATGGTGTATGGAACACATTCAGGGGGGAAAAAGCCATTGGCTGTTTTCTGCCAGCTTCTTTAGCTTTGAGGGTGCACCCTTGCTACCTAGCTTATCTCCTCCTGAAAAATGACTACATTTCAAAGCAAAGCATTGGATTGCAGACATCTAACTCAGCCAGCCAGCCAGCCAGCCATTCACACACAAGAGGCCTAACGATATTCTTGGGTCTAAAGATAAAGCCAGAAGCTGGTGGTGCTAGCTTCCCATTTATTGTTTTAATTCAAAACTCTTTTTTAAAAGAGAAGAGTTTATGTGCAAATTGGTTCCCATGGGCATCATAGTACTTGTCCCTAAAATATTTATTTTTGAATGGTCCAAATTTCAAATGCAAGGGAGCTTCACAAAGCTAGGGTCATCCCTAAGAAGGTCCTTCTCCAGTAGATTCCAGCTGATCTTCCTTCTGAGTCAGCAACTGGTAATAAACCAAGATTGGAGGCCCTAAGATATGAAAGTATCTTAGGATACTTTCAGGAAAGCAGATCTCACACCACGTAGGGAATTAGATATAACAACAAGGACCTTGATATGGACAACTAAGGTAAGAATGCCAGTTATATGCTCCTGCTAGAAAACATCTGACAGAAATTCAGCTGCCCCCTTTTCCTACCATTACTATTTCTGAGGTTTCTTCAAGGGCAAACCTAAGTGATGTGTATTATAATATTCAAATTGGAAGACTGGTATCTGAATAATAATGGTTGAATCATATTTTTCCAGGAAGGGACACAATAGCTATCTTCATAACTGTGGTGACCTTTTAGCCACTTACATCTCTCCTTCAGTCCACAATCCAGTCCAAGGAAGAATCTAACAAGGTTCTCAACACATCTGATAGACTGAAAGTTGCTCTAACTGTCATCCACAAAGATAGCAGCTAACTTTACACACCTAATTTATACTTGGCTTATTTATTTACAATGCCTTGGTAAGGCCACACTTGGAATACTGCATCCAGTTTTGGTCACCACGATGTAAAAAAGATGTTGAGACTCTAGAAAGAGTACAGAAAAGAGCAACAAAGATGATTAGGGGACTGGAAGCTAAAACATATAGGGAATGGTTGCTGGGATTGGGTATGTCTAGTTTAATGAGGAGAAGGACAAGGGGGGACATGATAGCAGTGTTCTAATATCTCAGGGGCTGCCACAAAGAAGAGGGAGTCAAGCTATTTTCCAAAGCGCCTGAAGGCAGGACAAGAAGCAACGAATGGAAACTAACCAAAAGAGAGAAGCAACCTAGAACTAAGGAGAAACTTCCTGACAGTTAGAACAATTAACCAGTGGAACAACCTGCCTCCAGAAGCAGTGAATGTGCCAACACTGGAAGTTTTTAAGAAGAAACTGAACAGCCATTTGTACGAAATGGTATAGGGTTTCCTGCCTGAGCAGGGGGTTGGACTAGATGACCTCCAAGGTCCCTTCCAACTTTATCATCATCATCCTCATCATCATCATCCTCATCATCATTATTATCTATAAAGACAGTGAACAATTGGCAAGAGAAGATAACACGTTTGAAAGGCAATCGGGTTATCACATGAGTAAGTATTTGTTTCTTGGCCCCTACACAAAACCAAAACAACAATAACACAATGTAGAATTATTTTAACTTCCCACTGGAAAGTTTTCTAGAAGTCTGCTGGAATTATCTCTCAACAGTCTGGAAAAAATAGCTCTACAGGCATGGGCAAATGAGTTGGGAAAACGTAACCTGACAAAAGAAAACTTCGTAAAGCAAGCAGGTCCTGACCTGTATTTCATCACCTAAAATGAACTACAGATCGTTAA